TGTGTTGCATGTTTTGTATGTGTTGCCTGTTTTGTATGTGTTGTATTTTTTGTATGTCATTTTTTGAATGTTACGGTTATTGTTGGTGATGTTATATAGTTCATAATAATGTTTTTTCTGATTAAAATTATTGTCATCATCATCGTCATCATCGCCATCATCATCATTATCGTCGTCGTCATCTTCAATTTTGAATGACGCCAGATTCTGGATGAAAATTCAGCTGCAACTGACAACAATTTAAACTTTGAGAAGACGATGATGATGATGACGATGATGATAATGAAGACGATGATGATGATGCAATGGGAGCCATCTTCTATTTACCGAAAAGATAAAATCCAATTATTTATTTATTTATAAATTATTTATTATATATCAGAGTGTAATTAAATAAGATGTAAAATATGATGTACGGTCCTCCCGTGCTCTCTGATCAACATGTGCTTGAAAGTAAAAGAATAATATTTAAAATCGGTTAAGTAGTGTTTTACTATTATTATTATTAATAATAAGGATAAAAATAATAATAATAATAATAATAATAATAATAATAACAATAATAATAACATTAAAACAACAGTGATGATGATATTGATGATATTGATTATTAGGGAGGCAGTGGACCGTGGCGATATAGTTATTGAAACCGACTACGCGTGGCGCTGCTATGAATTGCACTGAAATTGCATTAACTACAAAAATGATGCCATTAACGTCAGAGGTGACGTCATTATCTGCGACTAAAACATCAAAAAAAAAAACAACCACAACAACAACAACCACCGCAACAACAACCACAACAGCAACAACCACCGCAACAACAACCACAACAGCAACAACAATAACAGCAACAGCAACAAAAACAACAGCAACAACAACAACAGCAACAACAACAACAGCAACAACAACAACAGCAACATCAGTGACGCCAACATTAACAGCATCAATTTTTTTAAAAGCAACATCCACAAATTTTAGCCGGGAAGACAGCGTAGATTATTCAATCTGTTTTTAATGGAAACATTTTTTCTCAGTTTTCTATTTTTCGTTTTTCTTTTTCCACATCTTATCTATTTTGTTTTTTGTATTTTTCATTTTGTTTTTTTTTGTATTTTTCATTTAGTTTTTTTTATTTTTCATTTAGTTTTTTGTATTTTTCATTATTCGTGTGTGTGTGTTAGTATATTTATACGCTTGTACGTATAGTGTATGTATATATATGAGAGTGTATATTTTTCTATAATGTAGGTTTGTATGTTTTAGTTTGCTTTGTATATTTTTTCTCGGATTTGTATTGTATATTTAGAGTTTTGCGACATGTTGTTTTTTTTGCGTTTTGTATTTGTTGTATTTTTGGGGTATGTTAGGTGCAGCTCTCTATTTTTTAGTATTTTGGTTTTATTTTAACTTTCACATGCTTGGTCGAAAATTGTTATTTTAGTATATATTCATTGCTGTTGCTGTAGGTGTTTGTATTTGTTTGGTATTACTTTGTATTTATTGTTTTGTATACCGGGTGTTTATATTTTGTATTTCTAGTTTTTTTTCTTCTTTCCACTCCATCCATCCATTTAGCAGAGTGAAACCATCAATCAATTAAATCTCGGACAGTGCTGACCTGTCCAGTCTTTCATCTTTGTTGTGGCGGCTGTTGTGGCGGCTGTTGCTGCTGTCGTGGTTGCTGTTGTAGCTGCTGTGGCTGTTGTAGCTAATGTTGTTGCTGCTGCTGGTGGCTCTGTTGACGTTGTTGGTGTCGCAGGCGTTGTTGTTCGCGTAGTTGTTGTTGTGTGTTCATTGTGTATAATTATAATAATTATTATTATTTATTTATTAAAGTATATATTTATTATAAATAACAATAATAATATTGTTGTTATTGTTGTTGTTATTTGTCCCAAAAATGTTTTTCGCGACGACAACAAAAAAAATCTATTTTTTCGTAAGAGAATGACGAATGATATTGGAGACATCGTCGATGTCTGTGCGCCAGAAGTACATTTCGTAATATGAGAACATACATACATACAAACAAACATACATACATACATACATACATACATACATACATATTTACAATTTCACACTATTGCCATACCCATGTTATAATGAAGAAATTGATGGTGACAACAACAACAATAATAATAATAAAAATAGCGAAATAAGTGATGATGATGATTAAGTACTGATGATGATGATTAAGTACTGATGATGATGATGATGATGATGATGATGATGATTAAGTAATAATGATGATGATGATGATTAAGTACTGATAATGATGACGAAGACGACGACGATGAATAAATAGAACAGCTCCAATGCGTAAGAGTGCACGCCATTTCAGCTGTTGTTTCGCCGGCACGTTTCTTTCATCATCATCGTCGTCATCGTCATCATCATTAGTGACGTCACTACCATCATCATCATCATCACCATCATCATTATTAGGGACGTCATAATTACCATAATCGTTATCCTTACTCCGGTTTTTGTTGTCATTGTCATCGTCATCATCATCAATCAGTCTCATCGTCGTCGTCGTCGTCTTCATCATCACTAACAACAACAGCAACAACAACAACAACAACAACAACAACCCATAACCAGCTGAAATGAGTGGATGCATATACAAAGCAATTTTCCAATGTATGCAAAGACAATAGAAAATTATAAATTATGTATTGTATGTACGTACGTTAGTATGTATGTATGTATGTATGTATGTATGTATGTATGTATGTATGTTTGTATGTATGTATGTTTGTATGTATGTATGTTTGTATGTATGTATTTATGTGTGTATGTATGTATGTTTGTATGAAAACATATGCTGGTAAAGCGATTTATTTATTCCTAAACATGCATGTGAGTATCTAGAAAAGTGTTTATCTATGTAGAGTCATGTATGTTGCACTTAGACGATGTTCATAATGTCTGTTTGTTTGTATGTATACATGTATGTATGTTTGTATACATGTATGTATGTTTGTATGCGTGTATGTATGGTCCGTTAATGGCTCTTTTGTCATAAATGCTGTTGTTGTTGTTGTTGATGTTGTTGTCGTTTTTGTTGTTAATGTTTTTGAATTGTTGATGTTGTTTTCGTTGTTGTTGTTTTTGAATTGTTAATGTTGTTGTCGTTCTTGTCGTTCTTGTTGTTGATGTTTTTGAGTTGCTGTTGTTGTTGATGTTTTTGACGTCATCACCGACGTCATCATCATCATTGTCGTTTATAAATCTCATCGTAATCGTTGTTATGCCATCATCATTATACCTACGTGAACAGACGAGTATGAATGAAAGAATAGATGTATGTGTGTATATTTTTTGTATGTTTGTATACGTGTTTGTATGTATCTTTGTTTGTATGTATGTATATATTTGTGTTTGTATGCATGTATGTATGTTTGTGTGTTTTAATGCAACCGTTAAAAAAAAAAAAGAAAAACCTCATGCTGTGAAGAGAAACAATGATTCACTACTTTGCAAATCTTAATTCCATCTCTTTTTTTGTTTATGGTAACGTTTTTTAGTTTTTATGTTGTTTTTATTTAATTAAAATGTTTTGTCTATGTTTTGTTTTGTTTATTTTAGTATTTTTGGTGTTTTAGTTTTTTTTGGTGTTTTTCGCATCTGTTGGGAGTTCTTAACATTGGTGAAATTTTGTTTTGCGGCATAAATTTATGTTGCCCCTCTGATGAAATATTCATGCAAGCATGTATGTATGTATGTTTGTATGTGTGTGTGTGTGTATATGTATGTATGTATGTATGTATGTATGTATGTATGTATGTATGTATGTATGTATGTATGTATGTATGTATGCATTTAACACGAGCCAGAGCCACAATCTTACCAAACGAAATGGAGCGCGCGGCAAAGCGTGTCTTGATAAATCGTCTGCGGGCCTCCTCACGTGATCAATGACGTCATAAATAGAACAAATAAAAATCCATCATGGAGGATCTTCTGGCTTCCCGCTCTTGTAAATAACTCTCCTATCCGTTCATCCGTCCGTCCGTCCGGACTCTCCGATGATGGCACTCATTTCCACTGGGAAGGGGAAGAAGAATTAGGAGACAGTTCGCCGGCTGAATTGAAAAAGAGTGAAGAAGAGGGAACGAGAAATAGAGAGAAAGAGAAAGAAAAAAAGAGATAGGAAGAAAAAGTGAGTGGATTAACGAAATAAGAAAGATAGTAGTGGAATAAGATAAACGGCGAAAATGTGGAAAAGAGAGAAAACCTTTTAAAAGAAAGAATTGGAGAGAGAGAACATCAGAAAAAGAAAGACAGAAAAAGACAGACAGAAAGAGAGAAAGAGAGAGAGAGAGACATAAAAAAAAGATGAAATGAAGAAACAAAAAGACCAAAAAAAACGATTTCGAAGAAAGAAGAAGACGATAGAAAAAAAAGAGAAAATGAAGGAAGGAAGGAAGAAGAAATATGTGTGACCGACCAGTTGGAAATACATGGCGACTGCGTTAGGGCGTTGATTTAAAAAAAAAAGAAAAAGTTATGATAGTGATGGCTGCTGCTGATGATGATGGAGATGATGAAGATGATGGTGGTGGTAATGATGATGATGATGGTGGTGGTAATGATGATGATGATGGTGGTGGTAATGATGATGATGATGGTGGTGGTAATGATGATGATGATGGTGGTGGTAATGATGATGATGATGGTGGTGATGAAAAAGCAGTTTGATGTTGATGATGATTATATTATTGTTCGCCAGCCGTTAAAAAAATGAATTAGGAAATTTTTCCTTTAGAAAATTTTATCTCAAACATTAATGCACGCGCACACACACACACTCATACACACATACACGCGCGCGCATATTCACACACATACACAAACACACACACATATGAACGCACACACACACACAAACAGTTGCCTCGTCATCAATAGAGAGAGAATCGTGTGACCTGAGAAGTACCTCCCCGAAATTCGTCGGCTACATATCCAACCTGGACCCGGAAACAGTCCTGATGGGAGCCTCAAAGACCAAGCCATCCACAACAAAAGTATCCAAATCGTCAAAATCATCGACACCATCTTCGTTTAAATCGCCGACCTATTTGTCATTATCATCGTCATCGTCGTCGTCAAACTCGCCGCTAATCTCGTCATCATCAACTGCGCCATCTTGCGGCGACCCCAGACGACCTTGGGTTTTGAAGGTCATGAAAGGTCAGCGGGTTAATGTTACGCTGATGGATTTTTATCTGCAGCCCGGAAGTGACGTGGACGATTACGTCATCGATACGTCAGCTGATGATGTCCTGCTGTCTACTGGTTAGATGAGATGGGACGTGATTGGCTGAAGATGATTGATTGATTGATTGATTATTTGGCTGGTTTTGATTGATTATTTGTTAGATTTTTGGTTGCTAAGTTGATGAAACTGTCCAATCGTTTGACTCGTGAGTTGATTGGTTGGCTGGTTGGTGGGTTGATTGTCAGATTGGCTGGTTGATTGATTAATTGAATAATGGATTGATTGTTTGATTAGCGGACTGATCGATAGGGCTCGACATGTATGTTAAGATTTCGAATTGAATAATTGATAGATTGAAGATAAGAGGATTACCAGAAGAGATGAATGATTGAATGGTTGAATGATTGATGGTCGACTGATTGATCGATGGATGAAATTATTAATACAATAAAAACAGAAATAATAAAAACAATAATACTAATAATAATACTAATAATAATAACAGCAACAACAACAACAAAATAAATATCTCCAGACATTTCTATAGCAACGAACAAACCAACGATGACAACAACACAGCGAACAACAACAACAACGACTACGAAGTTTGCCCAGGACTACTGCGACAAATACGCCACCTTCGAAGACCTCGCCATATACAGTCCCGTGTTGGACAACATCATCAACAACAACAACATCAACAACAACAACAACAGCAGCAACATCAACAACAACAACAACAACAATAATAATGCAATTTTGATCAGCAGAGATAGTAATGCCACTAAGATGGATGCCATTTTGAACGGAGTTTATGGTTCGTCTCGAAAATTTGAAAAAAAATTTTTAGTGTATAGAATTTTCTATTTCTAATAACCATCTAATTATCTTTCTTTTCACTCTCTCTCTCTCTCTCTCTCTCTCTCTCTTTCTCTCTCTCTCTCTCTCTCCCTTTCAACAAGTTACACACACACATTATACACACACACGCACACACGTACACACGTACACACAATAAATCATGCACCACGTTGAGCGCCTATATTTCTCTATTGTGTTATTTTTCAATTTTTAGTGTTTTATCGTTTGCATTTGTGTATATGTGTGTGGATGTTTATGTGTGTGTGTTTGTGTGTGAATGTTTATTTGTGTGTGTGTGTGTTTATATGTGTGTGTGTGTTTGTGTGTATGTTTGTACTTACTCTGCTTGAATGTAGCGCTGAATTTATTGCTGTCAGATTTCTCCACTTCCACAATAATTCTTTACTCTTCTCTTCTTTATTATCTTTTTTTTCGATCTTTCCCGCTTTTTTAATTTTTTTCCTTACTCTTTCTTTTCTTTTTTATCTTCCTCTCTCTTTCTCTCTCTCTCTTTCTCTCTCTTTCTCTCTCTCTCAGATATATACATTTTTTTCCATTTTTTTCCTTTCCTTCGTTCTCTTTCACCACCACCCCTAACAACAACTGTTACTTTCCAGCCGACCACCCGACGTACCACCAAAACGCAAGCAGTAGCAGCAGCCACAACAACAACAAAAAGCCTTCAAGGGACCTTGGGACGAGGGGCGTACCAGGTATAGGGGGTGCCAGGGTACTCTGTGGCAAGCGTAGGGTCGAAATTCTGCACGCCTTTTCGTCACGAAGTAACGAGGTTTCTGTGATTCTTCATAGGACGGCTAGCCAGCCTGGCTACAAATTTTTACTGAAATATGAAGGTATGTATGTTTGTTTGTGTGTGTATGCGTGCGAGTGTACATGTGTGTGTGTGCGTGCGTGTGTGTTTGTGTATGTGTGTGTTTATGGGGTGGGGGTGGTTTTTAGTTTGTCAGAAAACGTGGTTTGATTTTGTTGTTGTTCGTTTTTTTTTGTGATGCTGCAAAATTTCAAAAAGATAGGGCTCGTCCGGGATTTGAACCCGGGGCCTCTCGCACCCAAAGCGAGAATCATACCCCTAGACCAACGAGCCGGTTGAGTTACCCTATTTCCACACTTTTCAAAAGATGAAACTTTATTTTGTGCATGCGTGTATGTTGCATTAAATCTCAATTACAAGTTATTTTGTGTTATGATGTTGGTAAGTAAGGTTCAAGTTCTGTTAATAAGAACCATCTGTTGTATTTGTATAATTAGTTGTATGTATATATGTATGCATGCTTGTATGTATGTATGCATGTATGTCTGTATGTTTGTTTGTTTGTAAGTATACATGTATGTTTGTGTGTATGTTTGTATGTTTATTCGTTCGTGTTGGATTTATTCATTGCAATAAGTACAGTCTAAGTGTATGATGCGTTCAACTATTTATGGTTACAATACAATGTTATTAAAAAAGAACAATAAAAATAACAACAACAACAATGATAATAATAATAATAAAATTATTATTATTATTATTATTATATTATTATTATGATTATTATTATTATTATTATGATTATTATTGTTATGATTGTTGTTGCTTAACAATGATTTATTTCGCGAAAGTACCAAAGCAATTAAGCGATGAATGAATGAGTGAATGAATGAATGAATGAATGAATGAATAAATGAATGAATGAATGAATGAATGAATGAATGAATGAATGAATGAATGAATGAATGAATGAATAGAGGAATGATTGGATGAATGAAAAATGAACGATTGAATGAAGGAAGAATTGAGTGAATGAATGAACGAAAGAATGAAAAACTGCTATATTATTACTTCCATTAATGACAATAATGATGAGATGATTAATTTTTTATTATCATCGTCGTCGACATCATCAAAGTCACTATCTACTTTTATTTCCTTCACTCTTTCATTCATTCATTCATTCCTTTATTAATTCATTCATTTATTCATCCCTTCATCCATTCATTCATCCACAACTTGACATAATAACTTTGTGAAACGATATTTCTCCATTCATTGGTCACATAGAGCTATTAGAAAATTTTTAAAATTTTTTTTGTCAAATTCTTGAAAAGTGGACGAGTGAATGAGTGAGTGAGTGAGTGAGTGAGTGAGTGAAAAAATGAATGAACGAGTGGGTGAATGAATGAATGAACAAATGTGAATGAGTGCTTGAGCGAGAGGTGATTTAATAAATAGCAAACAAAAGTGAAGTATTGAATTAGTTTGTGGAATAAGAAAACGAACCATTGAAATTGTTCACCAAATTGATGAAATGAATGAACAACAAATGAATAAAATGAACGAGTGGCCAATTTAGCGATAGAAAGAACGAAAAATGGAAAAATAAATAAATGAATGAATGAAAAAACGAAGGAATGTGGAAATAAACGAATGAAAGAAGGAAGGAATGTATAAACGGTCAGGCACGGTGAGATAATTTGATGGCCAAAATGATTAATAGATGAAAGAATAATTTTGTAAATGAATAATGGATGGATGGATGGATGGATGGATGGACGGACGGATGGACGGACGGATGGATGGATGGATAGAGGGATGGATGGATGGATGACTTGGGAAAACTCGTCGCAAAGAACATGACTCATAACATATTTCACAATATGCAACATGTCGAATGTATACAATACACGCATGCACACATACATTATACTTATGTTTATACACACAAAGAAACATACATATACACACATACAAACATACATACCAACATACATTCAAACATACATACCAACATACATACATATATTCAATGTATCTCAGTTCACATATAAACTACACATACCGCTACACGCACACATGAATGTATGTACAGAAAGACTTTTATGTTTCTGTTAGTCCAAAGTTGTTGCATGTTACATTGTCAACAGGCTCGTTGGTCTAGGGGTATGATTCTCGCTTAGGGTGCGAGAGGTCCCGGGTTCAAATCCCGGACGAGCCCTAACTTTTTCTGAAAGTTCATAAAATCATTTTTAAATACATTACTTTATATTTTAAATTTAATATTTTATCAATTATAATTAATAAAAATACTAAAAATGCTTCAAAACAAAAAAAACTAACTAATTAACATTAGTACAACATCCGCTTTTTAAAAATTGAAATATAGCGCGAGGAAGCGAGGCAGTGTGAGTGAGAATTTACTGAAATGAGTTAATTCCTTCCTCAGCTGCTGAAAACTTCGAAGTTGCAAAATAAAAAAAGTAAGAGTAATCATAAAAACATGACGACCAAAAATGGTAAAAATTCAAAAAAATTGTTGAAACATTGTAGAACTTTCAAAAAAAAAGAGCATAGAAATGACAAAAACTCAGTGATCCGTGGAAAACCCATCCATCCATCAATGCATTTGGGTGTTCCATAAAAAAAATTTCTGTTTCTCCGTTGATAAGGCTGAAAAATTTACTCCCGTAATACATACAGACTCAAAACAAACACACACATACACACACACACACGCACACACACATTCACACACACGTACAAAATATACACATCCATACATACACATACATACACACACATAGATTCACGCGCGCATTCATAGACACATACGTACATAGATATATAAACACCAATATACTACGTACTATACATGCAGATTTACAAACATACATGCAAACATTCATGCATACAAACATACATGCAATTATACAAACAAACATACAAGAATACATGCAAACAAACATACAAACAAACATACTAACACACATACAAACATTGATGCGGTGACAGCCGAGGCTTGTGCGAGTATTTTCGAAGCTGTCAAATTTGCAATTTGTTCATCACCGGGTATGTTGAATTTTTTTTAAAACAGAAAAAAATAAAAACATGCCGATGAAAGATGACGTCATTTGGCTAAAAATTGTTCAACGGTGAGAAAAAAAAAACAAGAAAACATTATCAAATTTTATAAAAAATTATAAAATAAAAAAATATCTATAAATTTACGGAAAATCTCATTATCACTTATAACATAACTCTCTCTCTCTCTCTCTCTCTCTTTTTCTCAGTCTCTTTCTTTCTTTTTTATCTCTCTTTTTTTCGATTCTTTTCTCTTGCAATTAGCCATAATAATTGCCTATGGATTTAGCTCATCTGCACTATTTATTATAGCAAATATAAACTACGACTTAGTAAAAAGACGAAGTATCTATATTTCAAAAGGAGCCATCATTTTTCCCCTATCTTTCCAATCTAATTTTTTTTTCTTTCTCTATGATTTCCACTAGAGAGGTAAACCTGGGAACTGGAAACGCGGGAATCCCATGGTTCTCCTGGGATTCCCATGGGAATTGGTAAATCTTAATTTCAGGAAATAGGGAATCGCTGTTCAGGAATCTGGAATGACGGGCGGAAATTGGAAAAATGACATCAACGTGCAAAAATAAAACCTCATAGATATATTTAAATACTATGTATACCTACTCGTACACATGTGATCGACGCATACACAACATTGGCCCACACGTGTGTGCTTACAAAGAAGATAACCATCATGGAACCTAGTGAAACCAACAAAGTTATAAAAAATTTTCTATATGTATATGTATATACGGGAGGGAATTGGGAATGAGAACAAATTGGGAACAAATTTCAATTCCGGCTCACCTCGACTTGTCACATTATTTTCTCTATCTTTCTCTCTCTCTCTCTCTTTTCTATTTTTTAGTTTTCTCTCTTTCATCCTCTCTTTCTTACCCCTTTTCCGTCTCTACTCCCATCTCAGCAGTATATTAAAAGAGTAACAGCAGATGGGAATGAAATGATTTTACGACTCGGACATCTTCAGTCGCAACAGGCTAAAATGAATTCATCACTATATTACGAAGGAAATACTGCATACACACGCACACACGTACACCCATACAAAACACACACATACATACAGAGATACATACATACATACATACTCACACATATGCAAAACATACACATACATACAGACATACATACATACATACATACACTCTCGCACACACATACATAACACACACATCCAAACAAACACACATCCAAACACACACACGTACACACACGCGCATATGGTTCTTCCTACGAAATGCTTATTGCCTCATAAAGTTTCTTAATATATTTTATATTTCATACAGTTATCTCATACAAATACACACACATACACACACAAATACATATATATACACACACACACATACACACCTACAAACATCCTCTTGAATAAATTTAATGTACATGCGTATGTTTAAATTTTATTACTCATACTTAAAATGGTCGAATTATGTATATCGTTTGTGTGTGTGTGTGTGTGTTTGTGTGTATGTGTGTGTTTGTGTGTGTTTGTGTGTGTGTTTGTGTGTGAGAGTATGTCAACGTCTGACGACATAATATAATGATAACATTACTTTTTCTGGAAAGAGGATAGTCCGGTATGTCTGCTATATGGTGATTGAATGATGCATATATGAGTGTTGTATGTATGTTTGTGTATGTGTGTGTATGTATATATATGTGTGTGTGTTTGTTTGTATGTATAAGTGTATGTAAGTGTGTGTTTGTTTTGTTTGTAGGTTTTTTTCTGACAATGAAGAGATTGGGCTGAAAAATATTTTGCTAATGGCGGTAATATTGTGTTGTCGATCACAGAACCGATTTGTCAAAAATGCTTTCGAGTTTTTGGTGAGGAGGAAACTGTTGTTGTTGTTGATGTTGTTGTTGTTGATGTTGTTGTTGTTGATGTTGTTGTTGATGATGATGTTGTTGATGTTGTTGTTGTCATCAAGGAAAAAGTTGCTGCCACACTTGTTGCCAATCAGGATGTCGATTCGCTTTCGCGCGAATAAAAACTCACAAATGTTTTATCCGACGTCATATCGACAAAAACAAAATTATGCGCCATATAATTTTCCACCCACCGGCCGCGATAATAATTCATGACGTCATCTTCGTCGTTACCATCAACAACAAAATCAACAACAACAACAACATCATCAACAACAACAGCAACATTAACGAGCACTTGCATATTGTTGCGTAGGGGAAACTCATAAGAATATGACGTGACGGGTATGTAAGATGAGTGTGTATGTATGTATGTATGTATGTATATATGTATTTTATTTTATGTATGTGTGTATGTATGTGTGTATGTGTGTGTGTGTATGTGTGTATGTATGTATGAATGTATGTGTTCATGTATGCATGTATGTATGTACGAATGATATTGATTGCCATTATGCTAAGAGCAAATGTCTTAGGCTTCATTACAAACGCCAACTCTGCTGTTGCTGTTGTTGCTGTTGTTGATGTTGTTGCTGTTGTTGCTGTTGTTGCTGTTGTTGATGTTGTTGACGATGGGATGACGACAACGACGACGATGTTGTTATAGTTTTGGTGTTAAGTTCAAATATTTTAGATGGTGTAAATATAATAAATTATCGTCGGCAGGCTAAATATACACACATAGGCAAATAAGGCATGCTTGTTTAAAATTTTCCACACAAACACTTACACGCTCGCACACACACACACATACACACATATACACACATATAAACACATACAAATATACACACATACACGCCCCACACAGCTGTTGGTTGCCCGGACACCCTCAGCCACCAATCTGATTTAGTCTGGAGCCGACGTCAGTCCAGAAGCGAGATGCTGATTGGCTGCAAAGGCTACCCTGCCCTATCATGGAAGCTGACCTGTAAGGGCACTGAATGGACGGGCCCCGAAGCTAACTGCTCTTTGGGTAACTAATTAACATAATTTATGTCGTGTATTTGAAAAAATTAACATAACTTATGCATTTCATGGGTGGATATTTAATAAAATTTATGCATTTGATTGGGGTTTATGATGTGAATTTATTGAAACACTTCTGCAGCTGGATCAAAAGAGCCGAGAAGAGAAGATGGGCTGCCCGCTCTGTCTATCGGTGAATGAATGATTGAATAAATGAATGAATGAATGGATTGATAAATGAATGGATAAATGAACGAACGACTGGCTGAACAAGTGAATGATCAACAGTAAATTAACAAAGATACATAAAAGCACGCAAACAAACAAACAAATGCAAACATACATACAAGAAAACAGACATGCAAATAAACAAAATAAACCAACAAACAAACAAACAAACAAACATACAAACATACATACATACATACTAAAAAACAAACAAATAAAAAACCTAAGGAGCATCTCTGCTGATAATACTCGGTGTTTCATTAGCCATTGGATTAACTGTCCTATTGTTTGGTCTGTTCTATATGAAAAGGTTAAGAGGATTACTAATTGAATGATTGAATGGAAGAGTGAATGAATGAAACAACTGAATGGCTGGATAAACTGATAAATGAATGAATGTGTGAGCGAACGAACGAATGAATGAATGACTGTTGTGTGAATGTTTGAATGAACAAAAAGAGGGGAAAATATGAATTGATGGACGAATGGATGAACGAACGAACACACAAACAAATAATTGATTGAATAAATGAATGAATAAACAAATGAATAAATAGAAACATCATCACCAACACCAACAACAACAACAACAACAAAAACAGAAAGAGAGAACTTGAACTAGCCAGTCTCCCGGAAAGCACACTTCTCCGAAGCGTGAAGTCACCACCACCAGCAGTAGCAGCAGCAGCAACAGCAGCGTTGATGACGTCAACAACAACGTCAACAACTACAGCAACAGCAAATTTCAACAACAACATTAATGACAACGAAAATCTTTGCTGTCCAGGGTTCGTCACCGAGTGTTGTATGACACATTTTTCGTTTTTTAATTTCTTAATTCTTTTTAAATAATTAATCTTTAGTTTTTCAGTCAATTAATCTATTTACCCATTCATTCATCCATTTATCCATCCATTTATCTATTCATTCATTCATTCATCCATTCATTCATTCATCATTCAATCGATCAATCCACCAGTCATCCGTTCGTCCAATCATCTAATCAATCTCCAAACTCCATCACCAATAATCAGCTGTACTACTTCCGGTATGACGTCAGCATTTGGTCGGCCAGCTGCTAAAAAAGCTGGCACGGCTTCTTTGGCTGCTGGCAGCAGCAACAATAGCAGCTGCGGTAACAACACCACAGCTTATGAATACGTCTGGGAGTTGCAACCAGATAAGAAAGGTGAGGATGGCTATTAATATTGAAGGCTGCTATTAATGTAGTTAATATTATTCATGTTATTGTTGTTGTTTTGGTGTGGTGTTAATGTTTCAACCAATACTATGTATAAGATTGATGTTATTAATGTTGTTAGTTTTATGCGATTGATGATGTTATTGAGGCTGTTAGACGACTTAAGATAAACATACAATCAGGTGGCGCCAAAAGTAACCGCTTTTCATCGCCTCAGCTGGTGGACGCGCAACAACAGCAGCAGCAGCAACAACATCATCATCACCACCATCATCATGTACCTCGGCCGGACCTGGTTCGACTGCATGACAATCAGAGAAAGAGTGATCCACCTACGCCGAGAAGTATTATTATTACTTCTTCTCTAGTGTTTCCTGTATTAATTTCTAATAACAGTTGTAGTTGTTGTAGTAGTAAAAGTAGCAGCAGTAGTAGTAGTAGTATTGGCTGTAGCAGTAGCTGTTGTTTATGGATTAACAGTGATTGTAGATATCGTTAAAATTATAAAAAATTCAGCAAAAAAATAAACCTGTCAAATTTTGAAAAGGTTTCACCCTTTGGTGTGAGGACGACGAGAACAACAGCAGCAGCAACAACAACAACAACATGGATGATGATGACGTCAATGTGGATGACGATGACGTCAATTCCATCCGGAAGAGTCGCGTGCACAGGAACAAGATGGCCGACAGCGGAAATGGATCTGATAAAAATTTTGAGCTATCAAATCTTAGATGCACCTGCTATCTGCAACATCAACAACACCAACAGCAGCAGCAACAACAACAACAGCAGCAACAACAACAACAGCAGCAGCAGCACAACAACAACAACAAATGTCAATTTATGGTCGTGTCATAACAACATCGAGACCACAAATATCACCCATACCTCCTCCACCCCCAAGCACTCAACAGTATCAGCAGCAACAACAACAGCAGCAGCAGCAACAACAACAGCAGCAACAACAACAACAGATGCAACAACAACAGCAACAAGTTGCAACAGCTGCAGCAACAAATTTTGATTCTTTGTACAACTTGGTTGGTGACAAAAAATTTCAACAGCAACAATCACAAACGCCCTCGGATTCAACAACAACACCAGACCAGCAGCAACAACAACAACAACATCATCATCACTTTTCATCTTCGTCATCAGCAGCATCAAACAACAGCAACAACTACCCGCGCATCGTCCCGCCAACACACTGTCACGTGCCTTTAGTGACGTCACCAACAAATCAACAACAACAACAACAACAACAATTAATACATCAACAACAACAACAGCTACAACACCCACAACAACCGCAGCAGACCGAAGAAGCCGTTTGTCGTAGTTGTGGTCACATGATCGATCGGAAATCATCAGTCGGCTCGGCGCCATCTTGCTTTATGACGTCATCAAAATATTTTTCCGGAAGTAGTGGTGGTGGTAGTAACAATAGTAGCTGCATTGGAAGCAGCGTTAGTGGCGTTTGCAATGTCATTTCAAACGAACAAAACTGCTGCAATATGGCCAAGGGTAACAGATATGCAACAAAGCCCGCTTCTTCTTGAACGAAAGAAGACAAACAAATTTCAGAGGCGGTACAATGGAGTAGTGCTAGAATGTTCTGTTTTCTGCTAAACTCTGGTCGGATTTTTTCCAGCAATTTTATTCCATGAAAAATGAACTTAGGCGAATCCTTAGCAGAAGATGCCACGATATGTTCTAGGTGTCCTCAAGTTTTAATTCAACCAGTTTTGAAAAATAACTGAATAAATTGAAGTAGCCTTTCGTTACAAAAATTACAACCAAGATAATGATCACAGTTTTGTAATGTTTGATAATGTTTTGTATCGTTGTGGACGAATACCATGTCATGGCGCGCCTCTAACAACAGTTAAAAACTTTGAGTTTAAACGGCTTTTACCCAGAAATCTAAAACTCAAGTAAGACTTTAGCGGCAAAAAGATTTTTTTGAATCAATAACTTGTGATCCAGCGAAAAAAATCCACAAAGACAGCAGAATTAAACACGGAGTTATAAAGCATTGAGTCAGTTATACTGGTAAATTTCAACAGCTCGGCTGATAACTTTCTTTCTAAATCCAAATAGGTGACTATAAAGAATATTTAAACTGTTTACACAAGCATCCATTCCATGTTTTGTAATTACAATTTGAAATCCATGTTTGAAATCAATGTTTACTTGCCTACTTGCTTATGCTTGCACAATGGGTTCGTTCGTTGAAATCCGAAGTTAAAAATAACCAATCCTGAACTTATGCATATTACGCTACATAAATTAAGTTTTTAATAATTATAATAATAATAATAATCAAAATAATAATTATTATTATAGCAATCAAAATGATAATAACCGATCAATCAATTGAACAAAACTACATGAATCTTCTCTCAAATGTGACCAAATCTAATTTGTACTTTGGCCCGTATTGTATTTTTGTACT